TGGGGCGACGGAGGCTGAGAGGTGACCTTATAGAAGTTTATAAAATCATGAGGGGCATGAATAGGGTAAATAGACAAGTTCTTTTTCCCAGGGTAGGGGAGTCCAAAACTAGACAGCATGGATTTAAGATGAGAGAGGAAGATTTAAAAGGGACCTAAAGAGCAACTTTTTCATGCAGAGGGTGGTGCGTGTATGGAATGAGCTGCCAGAGGGAGATGGTCAAGGCTGGTACAACTACAACATTTAAAAGTCATCTGGATGGTTACATGAATAAGAAGGGTTGAGAGGGATATGGGCCAAATGCTAGCAAATGGGACTAGATCAGTTTAGGATATCTGGTCAGCATGGATGAGTTGGACCGAAGGGTCTGTTTCCGTGCTGTACAGCTCTATGACTGTATGACTTGGGGACTCCAAAAGGAACTAACAGAAGAAGCAGTCGTAAGACTGCAAAATATCTCTCTGCCTTTCTCCTGGTTGAAATTTGGGCACTTAATAAAGTCCACACCTCAGTATTTTGACAACCTTGCCAACCATGAAACTGATGATTTGTTTAAAAGATCGTCCATTGTTATGTGGCTGTCAGCAATTTGATTCAGCACAATGATCAGTGAATTGTGAAAATCCATCAATGTTTTTGCTTTGTTTTCCAGACCATTGGTCAGTATATGGCTTTCGTTTCCTATTTGTGTTTTTTTTAAATTATCTCTGCAGAGCCATTACTTTTTGTGTGGATATGCTTATTTGGATTTAAAGGTTCCGGTTCTGGATTATAGTTCAGATGTTAACCAGCTTTGTTTTAGGTTTCTTTAAGAAGCTTGGTTCTGATTAGCAGTAATAAAGGGGAACAATTGGCATTTTGGCAATTGCATTTAAACATTTGTACTCATGATGCAACTCATGGAGTAGTGAGGTTTGATTATCAGTGCATTCCTGCCATCACAATTGTACTATCTTAAATTGGAATGCATTCAGAGAAGGCTCACCCAGCTGATTTCTGAGTTGAAGGGATTTTTCTATGAGGAAGTGTTGAGCAAGTTAGACCTATATTATGAAGTTCTGAAGAACAATGATGATCTTATTGAAGCATACTATTCTGAGTGAACTTGACAAGATGGTTGTTAGGAGGATCTATTTTTCTCAGCGGGGAATAGAGACGACTAAGACGCACAGTTTAAAAATGAGAATTTCTTCACCGAGCAGGTTATTAGTGTTTGGAATTTGCTACCCAGAGAGCAGAGGAGACTGGAGCCATTAAATATATTCAGAACTTGAGTTAGATTTTTGATTGACGTGGGAAAGCATATTTAAGGCCACAATCTGATCAACCACGATCATTTTTAAAGTCAGCCACATTCTTGTTAATATGCAGAAAAGACTCGATAGACTGGTTGTTACTTCTCTTATTTCTTATAATCTTATGAACACTATTCCATCAGTTATTCCCATATGAAACATACCTCCCAGATGGGCTAGATGCTGTGCAATCCTGTATACATAGATAAGTTACTTGTACCACTCATTAGTATAGTTAGTGTACTTTTTGTAATGGTTTTACTTCAATCAAAATTTTCCTTTGATTTGTGGTATTACTGTTTTCGTTCCGTGCTCAAAATTGTAGGAATCACACTGTAATTTGTTGCTGAAGGAAGACCGGAGTGATGCCACACAATTGAGAAAGCATGGAAGCCTACAAAAGCTATATTTATTGGCAGAGCCAAATTGACTGAGTTCCTTCTTTAAGGAATGATGTTTGTCTAGGATTCCCATTGTATTGTTACAAGGGCAAAGAAGTCTTTGGCTTCACCTTCCAGTGAGGTATTACCATTGGGATTGATAGTGCCATCAAAGTAACAGTGAGGCTAAAGATGCTGTCCGTTATTTAAATACAAATAGTATGAGTTATTTTGGCAAGGGGAAGATGAGTATTTAAATGTAAGTATCAAAGTAATGCACTACTTCACTACTGTAAAAATGGCATCGCTCTGTCTGCCTCACCATTTGAATGGTGTGAATTTGTGTGGTAGATATGAACTAAACTTGCTCCAGAAATTTAAGTCTGGGCATTTTAAGTGCAGGTATCTTTTTACTGATGTAATACTGCCAATCAACCCTTCTAGTACAAATATGAAGTTTAATTCTTGTCAGGTTTTAATTACTTTTAAAAATTCCAAATATAAAGTCAAGTTTTTTCTAAGACACTGATGATGTTACCCAGCAGGGTAAGGAAACATCTGCGGAACAACAAACCAGCTTAGCGAGCCAACCAACCACATCGTTTTTTTTCTCCTCCTTTCTTTCTAGATCTGTTCTGTCTGTCATTCTATTCGTTTATATCTCCATACTTGATTTGGCGTTGAATCCACCTGCTGTAATTTACATTTCTTCTCTGTTTCTGTGCTGTCTATCTCTCAGTCCTTTACTCTGGTTAAGAAAGAACACATTTGTTTATCCTGTACTTTGATGGAGAGTGATAATGTGAACTAAAAGGTAGAATTTCAAATTGGATGTAGGAACAGCAAGACCAATGCTTTACATACTCAAATCTTTAAAGATGAGAGAACATGAACAAGACTGTTGGAAAAGAATTAGAGACCTTTGGGTTTATAACCGGAGGCATAGAGTTGAAAGCAAACAAGTTCTACTTAGGCCCTATTTAGCTGCAATATTGTAATGAATTCTGGCCATACATTTTAGGAAAGAATTCGAGGTCCTATAGTGATGAGATTTATAAGAACAGTAACAAGAATTGAAAGACTTTGGTTATATGCTGAAAGTAGAACAGCTAGGATGGTGCTTCTTGTTGCAGAGCTGAATCTAGAGAAATTGAGTATGTGTTAATTTCATTTAGTTAATTGGGTAATTCAGTGACAGAAGGGCTAGTACCCAGAAGAAACTGATTTAAGGTAAATGGCAAAAGAACCACTGGCAAGTTGAGGAAAATTATTTTTGCACAGCAAGGCCACTAATCCGGAAAGTACTGCCTGAAAGGACAGTGGAAACTGATTCAGTGATGATTTTCTAAAGGGAATTGGATGAATGCTTGAAGAGGAAATTTTGAAGAGATTTGGGAAAGCTTTCCAAAGTGACAGCATGCACTATGAACCAAATGGTATCCTCCTTTGCTGTATCATTCTGTGTTTATAAACTTACAACTTTCTTGATCAGAGAAGAATGGCTTGCTGTATAATGTTAGCACATTTCTGCAGTTTCCAAACTACTGAACTCCTTAAAGGCAACCAGTAGGTTTTGCATTCTTCCTCTGATACATGTCTTGTTTCTTCTCAGAGGTTTTTTTTTGGTCACCGAGTATGAGCTCACTACCTTCCAGATTTATTCATGATGCTGGTGTTTGTTGGTATGTGGCTGAGCCACATGTTGGATAGATCAGATATGGTCATGTGAATGGTCCTTCCCTTTTGTTTTTTCATGTTTGCATATAGTAATGACAGTGACACTCCTAATAATTTTCAAATAAAAGAAAATCAGAACAGTACTGTAAATATCGTAGTGCTGCTCTAAAGATCTTAATTTAAATGCAGTGCCTTCATAAAAGGCGGGTTTCTAGTCATTAATATTTTCTCAGTACCTGAGAAATCAGTGTGGCATCTATAGCTAGAAAGTCACTTTCCAAGAGAGTTAATAAATGTATTAAAGTCCACTAATGCTGCATAATTTATACAGCATTATGCAGTATAATGTTTACTGTAATATAAGGAAGCCTACATAATAAAGGGTAAATACAAGTACGTTATTTGAAAGAATTATTCTTATGATCACAGATAAATTGTTACATAAACAATTTAAAAATTTCATTTTGCCCTGTTGATCGATTGAAATGAATCAAATGTAATTCTTGTAAAAATTTAACAGCATAATTCTCTACTTTTTAAAGGATTTTCCATTCAGTGCCATTTATTCTTGTCACAGCTGTAGCTAGTTCTCCCTGAAACCACACAGGTGACAGTCTTTTGATGACAATGGATTCTTTCTCTTTTTACTGCTTTGTTATTGCTGTTTTGGCTGTAATTTACGGTAGGGCTTTTATTGCAGGCTTAAATAATTTTTCAGTTTTGGATATTTAATTATTCATCAAATGTTTGCATAATTTGCAATTGTTATTAGCTCTACTGCTTAATCTACAAACCCAGGACTCTGCCGTGAAAGATTAGTAGTTCAGTAAGTCATATTGCCTGTAAAAGATGGAAACTGTTTGATATCTCAATATCCTTTAATCTGTAATTTTCATTGAAATGCACGTTTGACCTGTTCATACTTTCTGATAACATTTTAGTTCTTCAGGGGAGAGTAAGATCTGTGCAGTATTTTCTTACGGTCTTACACAAATATTGCAAAGTTTTTTTATTTTCCTGTTTTAAATTGGAGTATTGACAGCTTGTATGCCAAAACAGGATGAGCAGGAGAGATGTAGAAGAAAATATATTTTGACCTAGGTTACTGTCACTTCATACAACTGTGCATCAGCAACAAGAGGAGATCCATTTCTTGAGGCTTGTCTTTTAAAACTGTGACAGATTCACCAAGAATATAGCTACAGTTTCTGTAAATGGATTTTGAATATGATCTAACCTCCAAATGACAATACTGATTAAATACGATAATTAGTAGGAATTGAAGGATATATTGTTTTGTATGGGTAGCACCATACAAGATTAATCAAGTAAGCTTGTTGACCATTTAAGGTCACAAACATTAATGACTATAAATAAGCATTTTCTGAGGATTAATTAGCTGCCAGTCCTTGTTGGACATATCCTAAAGTGATCTAAAGGTTGATTTGTCTGCAGGTTGACAGAAGTAAGCAGTGATTGGTAATTTTTCCTAAAGACTTATTGGCATATGTAGCTCTTAATATGAGTTAAGTGTGAAAGTTTTATCTAATTACATCAGCACTTTTGATAACAGTATAGGTACTGTCAATAATCTTCAAGTGATGGCAGAAATTTTGTACCAGCAAGTTTTATCGTATCATTTGTCCAGGATGACCAGCGGGAGTCAAGATTAACGCTTCGCCCACCAAGTTTAGCAACACCATATGCTCCTGTTCAGAACTGGCAGCACCAACCAGAGAAACTTATCTTTGAATCTTGTGGCTATGAGGCTAATGTGAGTATATAGTCCTTGAATTATCAGTTTGCTTTGTTCAGTGCTATGCGCCATAAACAGAATGTTCACTAGTTTTTGGATTATAAATTGTGTGCTCATTTCTGGCCTAATTGTTTTTCAACTTGCCATCTATCTGAAGCACTATTGAAGTCAGATATCCACTGGGTATTGTTGTTACTGGTTCCATTGACGTCACCATATTCTTCTCTAGGTTTACCTGCTTCAAATTCAACCATTATTTTACGCCCAAAGATATATGGTTTCCGTCCAATTACTTGTTGCCGACCTAGTGCAAATGCAATTTGTAATTCAGGGGATTAGATATACTTCTCTGGAAACACACAGTACTAACTGATCTTCAGTGATATGATTTATGAGTGTCTGAAGTCTAAAGTATGCGATGATCTTTCAGTACTGACCACCATTTAGGAACTTTACTTGGTATAAGTATTCTTACAAAGTCACATCATGAAGACAATCGTCTTTGGAAGCTTCCCTAGTTTGTCAGCTGCTGGACTTCAGCCTGAGCTTTACATCTATAAATTTTTAATAGGCTTGTGACTTTTTTTATTTACTTGTCTTCCAAAAGAAATATTGTGAATTACTTTTTCATTTGTTGCAGTATTTGGGTTCCATGCTGATTAAGGAACTAAAGGGGACTGAATCAACACAAGATGCTTGTGCAAAGATGAGGGTTTGTATCTTTGATTACAAATTAAGGCAGTATTTTGGAGTAAATCATGATTGAATGTTTTAACGTTTGTTTTGTTCTCTTGTCTAGAAATCAACTGAACAAATGAAAAAGATTCCAACTATTTTCCTCTCCATCACATACAAGGGTGTAAAATTCATTGATGCCTTCAACAAGGTAATTGTAGAATTATTAAAAAAGCATTACTTTCATTGTATGTTATGTATCCTGTCTTTAACTTTTTTGTTCATTTTGTTAGACTCATGGAGTGCAGAAAAATAAATATTAGGCAGAAAAATAAATATTAGGTTTCACATTTTGTTTTGATTTGGGTTTGCTATACATTTATTTCACCTTGAATGCAATAACATATTACTTTCCTTTAAAGGATTGTTCCTATTTCACTTTACAAATGTAAATCCGATGCATATAAACATAATTTTTGAGCTGACGTACCCTCTAAAATATTTGCGTCTTATTTCTTACTGAGACTTAATCTGCCAGTGGGTTTGTTCAATTCCTCATCTGCCCTGTTGACATGTATTGGCATTGTTATGCTTGCTGCAGTTTACTTATTGAATACCTATTTCAAACTTGATGTCTCATGATTTATTACCTTTTAACATTTAGTTTTGTACTGTAGATTATTATGGACTGAAATCATAGGAATAAGATCTAGAAATTGCTCTACTGGTCTCTTTATATTTTTTACAGAAAACAGATTATTCTAAATGTGAACAGTTCTGTGTTTCCAGGTTGAGGTGACATTCTCTTGTGCTTTTAACTATCTGTAGTTATGAAAAAGATGAAAAAGTCAAGTTTTAATATTTCTAAGGTAAAATGCAACACTAATTGAGACCAATAAAACCCAGAACTGTTTCTTTCGCATTTGAGTTTACTGCATTGGCAATTTAAAAAAAAATTCTTGGATATGTTCTTATAAAAGATCTACTTATTAATATATTTGTGTCTACATATGCACTCAAAGCATCATGAATATCTCTTGACTTGACGTAGGATGCAGATTTCCAGTCTTTGTTGATTTTAGTTGTTTCAAATGACTTTGTAACTCTCATGGTCCAAACTATCTATCACTTATCAGGCTGCCAGTTGAGGTTTGTCATTATATCACCCTCATTTGTTCTGTTACTTCCAAGATGCATACTGCTGCTGACAGTGTAAAATCTTCCATTCTCTGCCAGTGCAACAAATCCATATTGATAGCAGAGACCCATAGTGGATAGGTCATTTATGTAACCTTAAGTGCTTTGTAGCAAAGAGAAATTGAGTCGCAAGCCAAAGTCTTGATACAGGAAAGTGTTGCCCTTAAATTGGACTTGCACTTTGTACAGGAAAATTCAAAATCCATGACAGTCATACTCAATGTTTCTGCAGCAATGCAAAAGTACTGTTGTTTTGTTCTTTGTTGTCCAGTGTAGTCCAATGCAGTAGTGCAGCCAGCTCAGCAGTCCTGTTTATCTTGTACAATGATAAGTCACGTGTTACTCAGTCAACTTCTTTACCAGCCAAGCAGAGAAGAGGCAATAAGAGGAAATATCAAAAGTGATATCTCTCCCAGGCTTCCCAGAAACTGCTTAAAAGTGCTATAAACTGCTATACCTTGGAGAAATCCTGGCCTCTTAACGCGAGCAGTGCGTTATAGATCAAAGTGGTCGCTTTTGGAGGAGGCCAATATATCTACCAGAGAGAATGAGAGTTAGTTAATAGTGCTAATTTAATCCAATGATTTATGATACAAGGAGCAACTCTGTTAAATAACTAACGTATTACCCTGTTGCCGGCCATCCTTTATGTATTTTTGTATGATATGATTGGCAAGTTGAAAGTGACTTTTTCTGACAGTGTTGCACAAAGTAAATATGTTTGGCATTTCTCCATAAACCGCTGCCCCCTCCACCACCCAAAACAGGCTTTGAATTTCTTTAATTAACTGTGTGATCTATTTAATCATGTTAATTCTGTTTTTTTCACAGAATATTATTGCTGAGCATGAAATCCGCAATATTTCCTGTGCAGCCCAGGACCCTGAAGACCTCTGTACATTTGCTTATATCACTAAAGACTTGCAGACAAATCACCACTATTGCCATGTTTTCAGCACACTTGATGTAGTATGTAATTATTATTTATTTTTTTAAAATGAGTAATCAAGTGATGCTACGTTTCATTGCTCCTCAAGATGGCATGACAATAGCTTTCAGTTTCTAGGGAATTGCTTCCCTGTGGCCAAATGGGATTTCAGCCTGGATCATAGAATCTTTACAGTGTTGAAGCATGCCATTCAACCCATCGAGTCCACATCAACCCTCTACACCCACTTCCCTACACTATCCCTGTAACTCTGAATTTCCCACCGAGCCTGCAAAATCCAGGACACTATGGGCAATTCAGCATGGCCAATCCACCTAACCTGCACATCTTTGGACTGTGGAAGGAAACTGGAGCACCTGGAGGAAACCCATGCAGACACAAGGCGATTGTACAAACTCGACACAGACAGTCACCTGAGAGTGGCATCGAACCCAGGTCCCTGGCACTGTAAGGCAGCAGTGCTAACCACTGAACCACCATGCTGCCCTCCTTCCCCTTTTCTTGGGCATCATTGACCAGCTTTGGTTTATGGTTGTTTTTCTGGTCATTAAATTGTCATGTTGTGTAATGCTTTGATTATTCACAAACAAAGTTTTGATGGAACTATGACAGTGAGGTTCTGCACTAGCTGTGCCGTCACTTAAAAAAAAAAATGCTCATCTAAAGTATATACGAGTAGTCACAGGTTGCTTTTCATTTAAAAGGAAAAGCTTACCATGAGCTGGGTGTTCTGTTGATTGGAGGAGCCACCTTCAGTCTTTTTCGAGGCTCTTGACTCTTGCTATTCTGTGAAAGCATTGAGCAATTGAATAAAAATTGAGGAAGCACAGCATGTTTCCTCAGTTAGTGGTAGTCATGAGCAAACGTGGTGAACATGACTGAGAGATCTATGGCAGATTCTTGTTTTTCTAAAAGGATCTCTTTGAAGCAAGCTGTTCGGGATTAAGCTACCATAGTGTCTTGTCCCATATTACCCCCTAATGTAAAACTGTATCATGTTTCAGATTTAATCTAAAATAATTTAAACTGCTATTGTGATTTTTGTTTTTACAACCTGAATTTAGTTTGGTGGAGTCTTTGGTGTCTGATTGTTTGGTATAAATGTCCCTGCTCTGAGGGGACGGCTTACTATGACAGTGAATAATTGAATTAAACCTTGTTTGTATTCAGTTTGACTTTTATACAGCGGTGATGATAATTCCCAGTGTTATTGCATTTGATGAAAGGTCATCCACATCTTCATTGTCAGCAGGTATTATACAATAGGAAGTATTGTACTCCGATTTGACGTAAAAACATACAAATTAGGAGCTGGAGCAGGAGTAGGATATTTGACCATTCGAGCCTGCTCCGCCATTCAGTATGATAATGGCTGATCATCCAACTCAGTACTCCATTCAGCTTTCTCGCCATTTTGATTTCTTCAGCCATGAGAACTTTATTTAACTTCTTGAAAACATTCAACATTTTGGCCGTAACCACTTTCTATGGCAAGAGAATTCTGCAGGCTCACCATTCTCTGGACATGGAAATTTCTCCTAATCTCAGTCCTAAATGGCCTACCTGATATCTTTAGACTGGGACTCTTGGTTCTGGACTTGCTGGTCAACAGAAAAGTCTTCATGTGTTTAACCTACCTAGTCCTGTTAGAATTTTATAGGTATCTATGAGATCCCCTTCATTCTTCTAAACTCAAGTGACTGTAGTCCTCACTGATCCTGTTTTTCTTCATACATCAGTCCTGCTATCCGCCCAATCAGACTGTTAAACCTTAAGTACATTCCCTCCATAGCCAGAACACCCATCCTTAGGTAATGTGACTGAAACTGTGCACAGTATGCCAGTTGGGATCTCACCAAGGCCTTGTAAAATTTGCAGCAAGATATCCCTGCTCCTGTACTTGATTCTTCTCATTATGAAGGCCAACATACCATTTGGCTTCTTCATCACCTGCTGCACCTGCATGTTTACTTTCAGTGCCTGGTGACACCCAGGTTTCCCACTTTCCCAATCTATTATCGTTCAGAAAATAATCTGCCTTCCTGTTTTTGCTACCAAAGTGGGTAACCTCACATTTATCTACATTATCCTGCTATGCATTTACTCACTCAGTCAACTTGTCTAAATCACACTGAAGCATCTTTGTGTTCTCCCACCCAATTTATTGTAATCTGCAAACTTGGAGATATTACCTTTAGTTCCCTCATCTAAATCACTAATGTATGTTGTAAATAACTGCGGTCCAAGCACCAGTCCCTGTGGTGCCCCACTAGTCAAATATTCCTACTCTTTATTCCTTGTCTGTTAACCAGTTCTGTATCCACATCAGTGCACCACCCCCAATCACATGTACCTTACTATAACATGCTAATCTGTTATGTGGGACCTTGTTGAAAGCCTTCTGAAAGTCCAAACAAACCATATCCGTTGGCTCCCCCTTATCAATCTATGCTAACTCTGTCCAGTCCTGTCACTGTTTTGTAAATGATCTGCTATTAAATATTTTATAATGGATGTTTCCCAAATGTAGCATTTTCCCCATTACTGATGTTAGGCTAATAGGTCTATAGTTCCCTGTTTTAACTCTACCTCCTTTTTAAAATATTGGGCTTTAAGTAACTACCCTCCAATCCATAAGAATTGCCCCAGGGTCTATTGAATCTTGAAAGGTGATCACCAATGCATCCACTATTTACAGGGCCACTTCTTTAAGTACCCTGTTGTGGATTATTAAACCCTGGGGATTTATCAGCCTTTTAATCTCAATAATTTCCTCAACACATTTTCCCAACCAAGCTGATATTCTTCAGTTTCTCTCTCTCACAGGACCCTGCGTTCCCCAGTATTTTTTGGAATGTTATTTGTGCCCTCTTTTGTGAAGACAGGTTCAAAACATGTATTTAACTGGTCTGCCATCTCACTGTTCCCCATTATAACATTGCCATGTTTCTGACTGTAAGGGACTTGCATTTGTCTTCACTAACCCTATCTCCTGACATACCTGTAGAGCCTTCTATAATTAGTTTGTACATTCTCCGCAAGCTTACTTTCATGCTCTGTTTTCCCCTCTTAATCAATCCTTTTGTTTTCCTTTGCTGAATTCTAAACTGCTCCGAAACATGTGGTCTGTTGTTTTTTCATTTTTTTGGCCAGTTTGTCTGCCCTTTCTTTGGATCGAATACAATCCTTAATTTACTTTATTAGCCATGTTGAGGCCACCTTTCCAGTTTTATATTTGTGTCAGAGTGGAATGAACAATTGTTGCATTTCCTCCATGTGATTGTTAAACAGTTGGCACCTTAACAAAAAATTCTATCATATTGTGGCCACTCTTTCCCAAGGGGCCTCACATTGTTCCTTTATCATTACACAACACCCAGACTAGGATGGTCGTTCTCTAGTTCTTCAACAGCCATAAATACTACAGGAATTCCTCATGTACTGTTGTATTACTGATTTGATTTGACCATTGGAATTAACAATTTGGACTCCTCATTAAACTAGAATTGTTTTTCAAGTTGATTAGTAGGAATTTGGTTTGTTGACCTAATAAACTTAGTAAGAACAATGCAAGTTACTATAGTGTATGGTATTGGAACTTGAAATAAAGACTGAAATAATAACTCACTTGTTATTTTCTGTTCTCTTTCCCAGAATTTAACATATGAAATCATCCTTACACTAGGACAGGCATTTGAAGTGGCCTACCAGCTTGCTTTACAAGCCCAGAAACCTGCTCAGAAGTCCTTTCTCACGGCTGAACCAGAGTCGGAAGAAATTAGGTCATCTAAACCAGTTCCTAAACCACGATCCAGCATGAGAAAATCTACTGTAAGTGCCCATAAATCCTTGCGTGTTCAAGATGGAGTTCAGCCTCTTGTATATTGAATGCATAGAGTATGAAAGTTGTCTGAACATTTTCATTTGAGAGCAAATATTGAGGAAAACAAATTTATGCTTACACTTGTTAACATTTCAGCAGCATATTCTGTCTATTATTTAGGAATGACTGAAACAGATAGGAGATTTTTTTCATTCATTCAGGCGATGTAGGTTTCACTGGCTCAGCCGGCTCTTATTGCCCATCTCTAATTGCCCTGCGGAAGATGATGTGCTGTCTTCTTGAACCGTTGCTGTTTGGAAGACAATTCCAAGTCAGCATTGTAAGTGGCTTGGAGGAGAACTTGGATGGGGTGCTCCATGTATTTGCTGCCCTTGACTTTGCATTTGGTTGTGGTTGTGGGTTTGGAAGTACTGTCTATAACACCTTGATGAATTTCTGTAGTGCATCTTGTGGATAGTAACACACTACTGCTACTGAGCATTAATGAAGAAGAGTGTATGTTTGTGGACGTGGTACCAGTTAAAACAGACTGTTCGTCCTGAAAGGTGTCAAGCTTCTGGGGAGTTGTTGGAGCTGCACTCATCCAGGCAAATGGAAAATATTCTATCAAACTCCAGACTTGTGCCTTGTAGGTGGTGTACAGTCTTTGGGGAGTTAGGAGGTGAATTACTCACTGCAAGATTCTTAGCCTCTGAACTGCTCTTGCTACCAGACCTGAGTTTCTCCAGCACTTTCTGTTTTTGTTTCCAATCTCCAGTGTCATCAGTTCTTTATTCTGGTTAGATTCTGTCTTGTTTGAGATGGTGATTGTCTGGCACTTCTGTGCCACAAATGTTTTTTGAGTAAGAGTAGTCAGATGACAAAGATAAGAATGTTGCAGTCTTGGGGGAGAGTGTGGTGATATAAGATCACCATAGCCTGCCACATGTTAGAACCTTAAATTACACCATAAAATACCTGAACTATAAGATGATTTAACAAAGTTGATGAAATTGAGAATTGCTGAAGAAAAATATTACTTCAAGTTTTGAGTTGGGTGAGGTTCTGGCTAATGACCTTGTAGTGTGATTGCCTTTAACATTATTAAAGGGCAAATGTAATTTTCTTAACACAAGATTTGTCCCATCAGGTCGGACTGTTATATTCTGTACTGTAGCAATTCTTCATGTTGCATGGTTTGTTGGGATGAATGTTGACACCACTGTCTCCTTCTCTCAGTAGTTATTGTTTTAAACCAGAAATAAAGGTCAAGTAGTTTAGAAACTCAACATTTGATTTTTGTAAGGTGCCTTTGATAGAAGATAAACATATGTTTATAGATTGTGCCAAGTAAGAGCTAGTCAGAGCCCCATGCAGTCTGACATCAGGATTCACATTTAGGCTTTCAACACAATTCTTAATTCAGTAGTGAGCCTCCCAAGATTGAGTATTTCTTTTGGAGTAGTGTGCAGATATATCATTGGGATAGATTGGTGGAAGGCTTATGTCACCAGCAGCTTACTTATCTGTGGGCTGCTGAATACTGGCATTTGATACCTGAAACAAGATATTTTATAAGAATCATATCTCTCACCTTGATGAATAGCCATCTTTTCCACAGATATAATGAACTGGCTTCAATTTTTGTTTTAAAAAGTGAGCAGATTCAGAAAAACGTGAGCATGCCTAAAATGTCTATCATAACATTGAATGAATAATTTATTGTCACATGTATCTTACAACAAGAACAGTAAAATACAATGAAAAACTTCTCCAATTTCACCACGATCTGGATGATCTGGCGTCATTTTGCGAAAAAAAGAACAAAAAGATAAAGCTTAGAGAGGGTTCTTTGTTATCTGTATAATGCACTGTCGTGGGCAGCAGTTGATTGATAAAATCAATAAGTTCAATGAATGTATTTTTCTACTGATCTGAAATCGGTGACCTGGTTGGATTTTCAGAATGCTGTAACTGGTTCACTAATGACTCTGCTGTCGTTTCTTACCAAATGAACTAGGTGCAGCCACCTAACAGCAGATGCTATTACTGTCACACGTGCACTACTCACAGGCCTTCGCATCCGCTTCTCCCGCTTCATTCGTTCAGCCAAGGAGTCCAGGTTTTTCTCTCTCTCTATATATATATTTGTATATCTATCCCTGTTTCTATCTAGTGGTCTTTCTTACATTCTCATTCATTCATGGCTGCCACCCAAATGAAAATATACAACCAAAATTTTCATTACTGGGAGATACATTTCCATAGTCTATACTCATTTAATGTACATCTTAACAGTTCTGAAAATAATCACAAAATACAGTAAGAACTATTTGTATATGTGGTTCTCAGTCTGGAACATTTATATTCGAAGTCACGCCAAGCTAAAACAGAATATCGAGTTTTCAAAGTGTGGTTGAGTCTTTTCAAAATTTAACTGCCGTATCTCCCAAATGAAGGCATGGAAATTCTTTGTGATTAGAAGAATTAAATTATGTAATCGTAGAAATTATAGCACTTGAAGGAGTTCGTCAAGCTGGGGCTAGTTCTTCAACCATGGCTTCATCCTGTGTCTGTTTAAATTCTTCTTTTTCAATTTATCATTCCATGTGGCATTTCAGAGCCAAGGTTAATTTTCTCATTTTCAGTCTGCATTCTTACAGTGAAATTTTAGTTCAAATAGACCAGAATTCTAGTTGCCTTCAGCACAAAAGAATAAAATGATTTTCGTGAAAAGTTAGTACGCATGTAACTGGATTTTATGTAGCAAGCTTAGCGATGTTGTTAATATGTTTAAAAAGTAACTTTTAGGGGGTTCTTGGGAGCAGGCATTGTGTTCTGCAACTGTTTTAAATCTGAAATAAATTGTGTGAATTTTATTTATTTATGAACATCAATTTGTTGAAACAAGAATAATGAGTAGCATATAGACTCATGGGGTTTTATGAATTTTCATTTACATCTATGACTAATGGGGAAAAAAATGAAATATGCACAACAATTCTTTTAAAACTATTTGTCTGTACTTATCAAATGCTTCAAACTTCCTACTTAGTACTTTTCATACTTCTTAAATGTCCAGCTTGACCCATGGTTTTGGATTAATTAATCCTTAGGACTGCGAGCAGATATTTGTCTCTGCGTTGATTGAATATGACAGATGAGTCAGTCTACTTCTGAATTTGATTGATCTTTGATATTCCAGGGGACGTCGTATTTAATAGATTCTGTAAAGTATAAGGAAGCTACTGATAACAGAAATTTACAGTGGTGCTTTTGCTTCTTCTGTTATATTTGCAAACACTGACTGATTTTTTTAATCCTACTGCAGCTAGAAATTTGTCATTACCAGGACTTACTTCAATGTTCACGATCAAAGTAATACAGAGTCCAGCTATTCCTTGCACTCCAAACATTACCCACCAATAAACATATGGGTGGGACTAAATTGAGCTATGATATTTTTTAGCCCCTTCCATACTGCATTAATATGACATAACTACTATTCACAGGGCTGGATTCCACAGCACTTGAAGCAACTGATAAATAACTGTATAGGCACCTTTAATATATTTCTAACCAACTGTCAGAACTTCCTAAATGAAACTTAAATAGACAAAACACACAACCCCTCTCTGATGTCACTCAGAGTTAATCTGGGAAGGGGAGATTTCTACAGGAAATGGATTTTATGACCTGTCTTTATCACAACCAAAGGATCATGGCTGTTATCTTAATTTCAAATTGGTTATTGTTCCACAAAAAAAATAAAGTGCTGGAGTATATCTTCCTGAAACCTGTTCCTCAGATACCAAGAAGTCTTTCATAGCTTTCCAAGATTCAGTGGACCCTTGGGAGAAGAGTTGTTTGCATTTCAATGACCCTTTGTAGCCAGCACTAGATATGAGTCTAACAAACTTTAAATAAACATTGTAAAATTGATGGAGACAACTGTGGCTGAATCTTTGAAATTTGTCTCTCAGTCCGAGGGCTTTTAACCTAACGGTCAATTCACAGATCTAGAAGCGAAAGTGTATTTTTAATAGGTTATCCTTAAAAGTCTGCAGTATCAATTGTGGAAACAGGCATTCAATTCTCATACACTCTTTTTCTTAATTTCCTCTTCAAACCCCCTCAACTTATGTATTTAATTTGGTTCTCATTTGAAGAATTCACCTGACATGCATTATATGCACTTGTTTTTTGGTTCGTCAAAATCTTCCTCTCCCTTGTCATCTAAGGGGTTCTAAATTTGTCTCCATTACATTTTTCCTTATTTGTAAGTATCTAACCTATACCCCAAACATCTTTTTCTTAAGGATCACCTATTATTTGACTACAGTTTTTCCTGTTAGTCTCTCGTTTTATTTTACCATGTCTAGCTCCCTTTTCATCACATTAAAATTAATCTTCTAATTTGGAAATGATGTACTGGGTTATTTCTTGGTCTTCTTGATAACATTATTTTATCCTTACATGGGATTATTACATGGGTATCACTGGCAAGGCTGATATTTCAGGGCCATTTCAGAGGGTAATTCAGTGTCAAACATGTTTCTATGGAAATGGAGTCTCGTAGATCAGACCAGGTGAGGATGGTAGATATTCTTCCCTAAAGGATTTTACTGAACCAGCTGGATTTTCCAATTATCGACAATGATTATATGGTCACCATTAGACTAGCTTTTTTTAATACCAGATTTTATTGAATTCAAGTTTAACCATCTGTCTTGCTAAGATTTGAACTGATGCCTAAAGTTTTAGCTCCGGGTTCTTGACTTAATAGCCCATTGCCTCCCTATAATCTAAAATTTAATAACTTGATCATTCTTAAACAAATGTTCTACCACTGGAATGTTGATCCACTTGACCCAGTTCATTTCCCAGCAATGCCATCTTTCTAGTTGGGCCAAGCACATCTTGATTAAGGAGATTCTCCTAAGTAAATGTCAAATTCCTACCACCTTTACTCCAGTATTGTCCTAATCAATATTTAGCAGTTCAAGTCCCCCAATATAAGCACTCTATAGTTCTTGCATGTCTGATTTCCCTGCAGGTTTGTTTGTCTAACCCTGTCTCTCTGTTTAACTTAGTTTGAAGGCCTATAAAGTACCTTTAATCACATGATCTTAGTTTTATGCTTACTCACTGCTGTTTGTGCTTGAAGTTTAACAAACTTATTCATCACTTTTTTATGTTTACATATACGCATTGTCATGGATTTTCTTAGTCTGCCCCTATCTGTTATGTGTTTATTAATAGAATTATGATGAGGTAACAGGATCCTGTCATTCACTGTACTCAATAGTATCAGGTGATGAACTGCGTAGAACCATAAAGCTCATGGGCTTAGGGACAGTGATTGAGAGGGATAGAAAATTAGTTAGCAGACAGGAAACAGACTAGGAATAAATAAGTCCTTTTCTGAATGGCAGGCAGTGACTAATGGGGTACCACAGGGATCAGGACTAGGATGCCAGCTGTTCACAATATATATTCATGATTTAGTTGAGGGAACTAAATGTAGTATCTCAAAATTTACAGGCGACAAGGTGGACAAGTGAGCTGTGAGGAGAATGCAGAGATGTTGCAGTCTCATTTGGCCAGGCTGTGTAAGTGGGCAAATGTATGGCAGATGCAGTACAATACAGTGGATAAATGTGATGTTATCCACTTTGGTAGCAAAAATAGGAAGGCAGATTATTATTTGAATGGCTATAAATTGAGAGAGGGGAATGTTCAATGGGAACTGGGTATCCTCATGCACCAGTTGCTGAAAATAGGCGTGCTGATGCAGCAGGCAGTAAAGAAGGCAAACTGTATGCTGGCCTTCATAGTGAGAAGATTGGAGTACAGGAATAAGAATACCTTACTGCAGTTGTACAGAGCATTGGTGAGGCCACACCTGGAATATTGTGACGTTTGGGTCTCCTTATCTGAGAAAGGATGTTCTTGGTACAAAGGGAGTGCAGTGAAGGTTTACCAAATTCAATCCTGGGATGGCAGGACTGATGTATAAGGAGAAGGTGAGTTGATTAGGATTGTATTCAGTGGGGTTTAGAAGACTGAGGGGAAATCTTTCAGATGCCTATAAAATTCTAACAGAACGAGACAGGTTAGACGTAGGAAGGATTTTCCTGATGGTGGGAGAGTCCAGAAGGGAGTCATATTTTAAGGATGAGTGGTAAACCTTTTAGGACTGAGATGAGAAATTCCTTCACCCAGAGAGCAGTGAGCCTGTGGAATTCATTATCATAGAAAGTAGTTGAGACCAGAACGTGTTTTCAAAAAGGAGGTAGATATAGCTCTTGAGGCTGAAGGTTCCAAGGGATTGTAGGAGAAGGGTGGCAGTAGGGTATTGAGCTTGATGATCAGCCATGATCTTATTGAATGATAAAGCAGGCTGAAGGGGCTGAGTAGTCTAATCCTGCTCCTTTTTTGTACATACAACCTGGTCTGTTGGGAGAACACCTCCATAGGGGAATCAGAGCAAGTACGCTACACTAAAGCACTGTAGTGTTTATAGTTCCTTCTCAAAACCATATTCTATCAATATATTTTTCAGTATTGTAGTTCATTTTTATCAAGGAAAACTATATCTAACAGAAGTTAACTCTTCATTTTTGGGGAAATGTCCCATATGGAGCTGTAATCATTGCACTCTAACAGACGAGTAAGTCTGCAGAAGTTGCCTGTAGTGTTGCTCAGGATAGTCTTGAAACACTTTTATCACTTTTCAGTTATATGTTTCGAAGTTTTTCATGCACCTCTACTCCATACAGTAACGTACTGAAGGGATGTTATTTGAAATTTTAATTATATATGTTTTATTCGCCATTCAGTGCTGCTTTCCTATTGATCATCTGTGAAAGTTTCAATAGGCAAACTGGGCAACATCTACAGAAAGTCAGTCCCCAAATCTGTAGTTTGAAGAAAGCCTAACTTAACACCTCATACATTGCCAGCATATCTCATTCGATTTGTTTATTACTTGCACATCACAGAAACATTCTGCTTTCCAGTATATTTTCATTTTCTCACACATTGTCTTGTCTTGCTTTTGTAGATTGACTCTCTTGAGCAAGATTCTCAATCACATGGCAGTGTGGCGTGGATAGCCGACTCTAAGCCGGACTCCAAGAGGACAATCAGTACCAAGTATGAAACCACCATATTCTGACCACCTTCTGCTCCGGCTTCTACTCCGTGCCTTTGCACTGTGAATCTATTCCACCTCTCCGTTTCCTAATGCGGGTACTCAAAAGCTGCTTTCACTCTCTTACTCAGAAGGAAACTTGTACTTGTGTTTCCTGTACTGTATTGTGTTATTCAACAATAGCTGCCTTCAGACATCCTGGGGATCTTCAGCTACTTAAAAAGAAGCTCTGCAAATTACTTGGAAATCTTATTCCATGCCTGAACTTTTGAAATACTCTAACTTGCCAACACTGTGAGCTATTGCACTGTTAATTCATTCACCCAAATGCTACTAAAAGGCATATATAAATGTTGCATGCATTATTACTTGGACCCGTTGCATCTCCTTTCAGAACAGCACATCTCGGTAGATACTAATGATTGGATGTTTCTACTGATGGATCTAATGTGCTTTCTAACACATCGCATTTTCTTTTAACATTGTTCCTCAAACACTGATTTAAGCAATTTCTTAACTTGTGCCTCATCCAAGCTGTCTTGTAGTTTGGTTAATTCCAAACTGATTGAAGAAGGATGGAGTTATGGTTTAGCCAAATTGGCTTAAATTAATAAAAATGAAACTTTATTTGTGTTCTAATTTTTAAGAGTTTCTACCATATGAAATGAATCAAGATTTCACCAGTTTTTTTTATTGACCAAAACAAGCTAAATGACCACAAGCCAGTTTGGCTGCAAAATTTTTTAAAATAATTTTTACTTCAGAATGCAGCATGTCTGAAAGAATCAATGTTTTTAAGGAGGTTATGGAAATGCTTACTTTGACACATATGCTTAGACATGTGCCATTTAACATTTATAAGTAATCAAACTGAAGAGATTCTCTACTTTTTCAATTTAGAATGATCACAGATATTGCCATTTCAGAGATTACATTGAGATTAACTGTTGAACTCTAGTCTGTTTATAACAGCTGCATTTTTTGACATCTACTGTCAACTCATTTTAATTCAAAATTGTTTTATCCAAATAATCTGATCCTTTTTTTTTGAGGCTAAGTTTCTACCTTATTATTCACGTGCTAAATTCAGGTTGTTAAATCATTCAGATTTTTTTGAAACAAAATACTTTAAAACATCTGTACTGCCACGAGAATCATATGCATTGGTTATTTTAGTAGAGCTCCTGTTCACTAATTATGTGCACTGTGGAGCTATGCAATTGCATGCCTTCCATCAGTGTGTGGTATTATTGATTTACTCCATACTTTGTTTACTTTTTCAGAATTGTTGCACATGATATTTTATAATGTTAAAATCTGTTGTCAAACTTTTCAATTGTATTCTTGCCTTTTCTCTCTTTATTTTGTGCTTAGAAGGCTTCACTTATTGGCTGAACCGTGTTCTTTCATTGTCCATAATTGAGGCTGTTAACAGCAATATTTCTTGCCTGCAGGGATTCCAAAACCTTCAAACTAATAACAAATCAGTGAACATCTGTGCACTAAACAGATAACAACATTTGTGCTGAAGGAGTGTCCACACTTAAAATATTAATTTGTGTGCTCTTAATAGTGATCCTAACTATGCTACTTAGTGCTACCAGCATTTTCAGTTTTTGCTTGATTTCCAGCATCTTCACTGTGTTATTTTTCATTATCTAATGAAATGTTGGGCAAATTGAAAGATAAAATGATGTTACATTTCAGAATTTGAGGAGTTCTTACCATTGTAACTGCATTTTGAAAATACTCTTTGCATCAACTATTCATTTCTAATGACAAGTAGATTTTTAAGAGGTGCATTATTCAGCAACTTTTAGCAGGATATTATGGTAACAGCTTAATAACAGTTGCAGTTTGCAATAAGCTTACCCTTTAATGTAGTTATTTTATTACAATAGTACCTTTCTATAAACATAAAGTGTCCACAGGCTTTTACATTAGTATTAAGAGTACACAGGAAGACCACCAACTGAGTGCTATTAGATATGGCGATGCATTCAAGTTGTCTTAATGATGGAAGGCTGTTGAAGGGAATCATTTCCAGCATGGTGTTCTTTTTTGTACACAACTAACACAACTAACAGATTTACTAATGTTGCATGTACAAAATATGTTGAAAACGTTTGCAGCAGAGGCAAGGCAAAGAAGACTCTTGAACAATTTCTATCCTGCCTTTAGCACTAAGATCAACCTAGTCATTGCCAAAAACACCCTCCATAATTGTGGTTCACTGCCTCTTATTAATCTCTGCAGCTGCCAAGAATGTTGGCTGCTCCATTTTTCCCTATCGTTCCGTTACTATATCCATAATGTGTGGTGAATGAGTATGCCTCAGACTCTCTTGTGATCAGTTAGATAACAATATAAATGTGCGGTTTTTTGATAACACTATCATTCTGCTGTCCTTTTTGACTGCCTATGTAACATAACCAAAATCATCTCATATTCAGCAAAATATAGCAATTCATTTTGGATTTTGCTAGCTGTAGCTTTTGTACTGACCCCAGCTATCTGTTCTGGCTGAATCTGGTATCCAAACTGGAATTGACCACTATAATCTGCTGCATCATCATCCTCTGATCTGTTAAATATTGTCGTCACTGACATATTTACACACTTCCATACCACACCCTCCCCCCTAAAAAAAAACTAATCCATAACTCTAAGGTCCCTAGCCTTTCCAGCAAAATATTTCATAAATCTATCATGCCAGGATGTTTATAATACAAATTATTTTCTTGGTCCTCATTCTACTTTGGATTTAATTTTGTCTTTTTGGACCAT